TGAATTTTTAAAAGTTATAATCTTATCTTTAGAAATTGTAACTTTCATGATGGATCATGATATTTTAGGACTGATCATGTATTTTTTAATTACTAGTTGATGCACACGTGCATTGCACATGAACAATTTGAAGTATAAAATCATATATAATACTCAGAGGCGGATTTATAATGGAGGCAACTGTCCTCACTGGAATTTTAAAAACATTTGGGGCGTATGAAATTTTAGAATCCGTTAAAAGTTGCCCCCACTAGAATTTTAAAAATAGTAACGTGAAATGTTTGAAATTTTAGAATCTGTTAGAAATTACCCCCATTGAAAATATTTTAAACTCAAAACTAGTCATGTATTTTCTCAAACATGTGGGGTTCTTTAGTCTTTAGAAACAACAAAAAATACTTTTATTTTTACTTTTACTTTATAGAGATCATAGTAATTCCAAGAACTTCACTCCTACAAATTTGGATTTAGTCTCCCTTATCACAGATATATATATATTTTTGTTGTGCTATTTTTGTATGTTAAATTAATATAGAAAATTGAAAGTTGTTATATTTAGAATTTACATGCTATGGACTATTTTTTGGATTAAACCATATGGTTCAATGGGCTTAAGGAATCTGATTATGAGAAATTAGGTTATTTGTATGTCTAAGTTTGATTTACTATACTTGTATTTATGTTAAAAATTGCTTGACTTCCTAAGCTATTTTGATTGATTGGAATTGAATAATGAATTATTTTTTATAAATACTTCTCATCAAAGAACAAAGTAAAAAGTTGAGAGATTAATGGATGAATGATTACTTGATTACATATGTTGAGAAATAATTTTCAAATACCATTTGTGAAAACTTGTTGAAACAATTATGAAGATTTTTAAGAATTTGGATTTTTTCATGTATTGCATCAAGTCATTATTAGGCACTATTTTTTGATACAAAGGGTATTTGTTTGGTACAATTTTATAGTGAATTTTTTTTTTTGTCGACTTTTTTTGTTTATTGCTTGTATATATTATTTTGATGAAACTATACTTTAGTAAAATAGTATTAACACTCCGAGTTTGAGTATTCATATATTAAAGGTAGAAAATTATAATTTTAGTTTTATAGATGACAAAAAATATATATATAATTCTAAACTATAATAACTATCTGCACACTATTTTATGCTACACATGAAAATGTTTAAAAAATTATTTTAATTCTTCAAAACAATTCAAACATGCAACATGCATGTGTCTTTATAAGATATTACAATATTGTCACTCCTGTCATTCATGCAACTCGGCTGCTGAGTGTAACTCACAACACATCTGGTATCACATTCTTGCCTAACATTTTTTATTCTAAATTACTTCTAAATTCATGTCTATATTCAATCCATCTCTCTTAGCAACCCTTATTAACAAAGACCAAACTTACTCTAGAAAAAAAAAATATCTTGTTCAACCACGAATAAAGTTCATATATTGGAAACAAAAAGGAAGAAAAGCAATTGTTGGTACAAATTCTTGCACAACTCAAGGATTCAAGTGGCTAGTGGGTACACATCCCTAAGGGGCTCAGGTTTATAAGGGAGTGGGAGAGACGACTCTCAGTTGACATGGGATGAAACTCCACACGGGCATTGAGAGGTAAAGGCAACTGGGGGGTCGCCCAAGGGGTTAACTCAGATCAACCAAAAGCCTTGAGTTGTGCAATAATTTGTACTAACAACAATAGTCTTTACTATGAAGAAACTATGGAATGAAAGTTGTTAGCAAGCTAATTCTATTGTGAATATGCACCAGTTCTTGAAGGGAAAAATAAAAACAAAGGAAAAAGTTGCACTTCTACAAGCAATATAAATTAAAAAACATTTTTCTAATATTTTTTGATTTAGAAAATAAATGTTATACTTTTGAACATTTTAAAGTGAATGTTATGGACAACTTATCCTCCTCGTTGCATCATTGCGTTGATCCCCGTACGATTCTGCAACAAAATATCAATGTTATGTTAAGATTAGGATAAATATTTTTTTTCTCAAAAAATAAAAATTCAATAGATCAAAAAGAGAGAACAAGAAAGGGAATGACCCTTACAAAAAAACACATGGGCTATTCCAGAACCATGAAAAACCCAAACAAGCCATAAAGAATACTGACCAAGCAGAAACAGAACATAAACAAGCCATAAAGAACACTGGCCAAGCAGGAACAGAACATAGAGAAAGAATTTAGTAGGAAGTGGAGGCCTTGAGCTTAAACTTCCAACTAAATTCCTCACCAAAGGTCCAAACAAAAAATAGAGACATGCGCAGCAAGATCACCATTATCGTACCGTGAGCAGCACTAGGGAACAACACCAAGGGGCAGCACCAAGGGACAACACCAAATGGAAAGATGGTGTTCAAAAAAAAAACAGAGACAGCCAAAACAGAGAAAGATGGTGTCCACCAATAAATATTTTGATTCTTTTAACTTTTTGTTACAATCGTACGTGACTATAAGAATAAATAAATAAACAATTAGGTATTCCAAAGGGGTTTCAAGTCATAATAAAATATAGAAGACATGGGATAGCCCGAAACAAAAAACAATTGGATTAATTGTAGATTTGGCTGCCGCCACCTGAGTCTGTGAAGAAATTTAAACAAGTAGATAGAGATGAAATAACTTATGTAGGAAACCATTAAGAACATCAACAACCAGTATAGAAGATCTGGGATATCGGAGAAACATCTGTAATATTACTTGTGGCTTTGATTATCCTTACTGAGCATGCATACAAGATTCAAACATGAAGTGGATACGGTGAAAAAAAAAAAGAGAGGCAAGAATTAATGCAATGAAGAAATCAATGAGGGAAAAGATGAAATATGAAAAGCAGAAAGAAAGCCAATGGAAGAAGAAGTGGTATCGTCTAAAGCCTAGATCAGTTACATGAGTTTTCTTTTGCCTTTGTAATTCATGTGGAATATTAAATGAGTGTACGTATGTATTCAGTGTACAATTATAGTAGTCAATACGCATTAAATAAGGATTTTGATCCTATGTTAAGGATAGAAAAAGAGCAATGTTACATGGACTTAAAAATTAGACTTGATAATCTCAACCATTGATTTCACTGTGGGTCCCAATATTTATTGTGATCCACTACCTATTCAATATGATTTACTTCACACGGTTTTTAATGGGTACAAATGTATAATTATATTCTAGAAATGATCCAGTCTATTTAGATGGTTCAACATAAGCACATAAGGATAAAATTGACATTAAAAAACTAAATAAGGGTGAAATAGAAAAATAAAAAATTTTCAGAGACTTTTTATAGTAGTATATAAATATAGATAGATAGACATAGAACAAATATTGATATAGACATAGATCTAAGAAGAGTAGAAGGTTATGCTAATTATTTTCAGGAGGAAGACAGGTTGATATGACCTTTCACTTATCTTANTGTATCTTAGGAAAAAGAATGCTTATTGATGTTATGATATGCTTCAGAGTTATCATGCTCTCGGGTGGAGGTTAGGGGCTGGTGTGGTTAAAAAACAGGGGCAGGGGGCAGCTGGCGTGGTGGGGGTGGAAGTGAGGAGCTAGCGGTGTGGCCACTCGGGTGTGGCAGTGCGTAAGAGAGGAAGAGAGATAGAGGACAGAAAAGAAGAAGACACATGTTTGGATGNAGGTGATATGATCAATGCCACAAGTGTTTGATATTCCAATTGTAATGGTGATCTTGACATTTTCAAAATTTTGAAGGATTAAAGTGTCCAAATAAAATTTTTCATGTGTATTGACATTTTATAGTAGTATAAATATAGATAACTTGACCTAAAAAATTTATAAATTTTGGTATGGTAATGATCTCAACATCGTAGTCTTCCTAAAAATATAGAAATATTGTAACGACCGAGCTCTTGAAAGTCATTTTAGATGTTGTAAGCTGTGTAGTTTAAACCTGAGAATCATACGTACATGTTGAAGAAATTGTGAGAATTGGACATATAAGGCTATGGTTTCTTATTCGACATTTACATGTAATTATGAAAATAAATTTGAAGAAAATACCTAAAAAGTAAGACTATTAATCAAATCGAGCTACTGGAGTTTAGTTTGAGTTTGTCTCATTTTTGGATCATTCAAGCTCAGCTTGTTTTTTTTAAATGAGTCAAACTTGAACAATTTTTTTAAATTCGTTTAAAAAACAGACCCGACAAACTTAATTAGTTTATGTACAAATATTCGGGCTCGGCTCTGGTTCGACTTGTGTTAGGCTCGATTCATTTTCCAAATAAGTTAAACTTAAACAATTTTTTAGGCCCAGTTAAAAAAAACTTTGGCTTAACTTGTATTCGTTCGACTATTAACCCTATCCAATAGTAACTTATTTCATGCAAAAAGTTTCTCTCGATTTTCAAAGAAAAGGTCTATGTAATTTCCGCAAAATTTATCATTTTGTGTAATTTATCATTGCTATACAAAAGATACCTATGTATGAAAAAAATATTCATTGCGATAGTGATATTTCGACAATATTATCATGTGATATTATCAACCAATAATATATAGACAAATAAAAAAGTGAACCTCACACAAACCAATAAGTACCCATCTATATAAGCAAATAATTACCTACTCTTCTTTCACGTAAACCAACAACTATGAAAGTAAAATTCATTTTATNACCTCACACAAACCAATAAGTACCCATCTATATAAGCAAATAATTACCTACTCTTCTTTCACGTAAACCAACAACTATGAAAGTAAAATTCATTTTATTCATTTGGTGTTTTATTATTAGTTAATAATATCTTATTATCAATGGTGACATGATATCACTATTGTATTAAATATTCTATATGCAGCTAGGTGAACGATCTTATATGCCAATCCAAAACCCTCTTAAAAGATTTTATTGCCCTTCTTTGGATTTTCCTTGTAAGAAATTCAATGATTAAAAGAAAACATCTACGGATTTGAGGAAAAGGAGAGAAACTCATGCCTTGCATGAGTCGGTTTTTATTACAAGTTTGTTCGGTTGAGGTTACAATAATTCAAACAAAAAAACACCGAATACACACAATATCATGATCAACTCACCTCAGCTTCCCACTTTCTTCCCTAACCCCCTATACTGCAGAACTCACATTTCATCTATGATGAAATGCTGCTACAGACTCGATCAAGGCATTCATCTAGCAACTGATATCTACTAGAATAAAACCTGATTAACCAGACCAACCGTTTCAAAACCACAGAACTACAAATAGATGTCACAATAACAACAATTTACATGAAAAAAAAAAAAAAGGAAAAATGGATTCAACAATATATAATATCTTACAAGCAAAAGGTTGATTGAAAAATAGACCTCTTTTGGCAGTTCAATGCTCTAATAAACAGCTTCTACTAACTTTTAATCGAACTTGACATTAGAATACAGAAGGGTGTCCTTTGTGAGTGGCATGTTCATGAGGAAGTAAACCTGCATAAAAACAAAAAGAAACAATCAAACATATATAATCATGGATTTCAACAGTAGTCATTATTTGTCTCCCAAACAGACCATTCTAATTCAGGATTTGTAAAGCCCCGGCAGGTCTAAACATTTGGCAAATCTTGTCATATCCTCTGAGTAGGCTTTTAATTGTTGGTAAATAAAACAGTCGTAAAACAAAATGACTACCATTATAGTAGGTAACATTCCTTTGAACATTTCAAAATGTATTTGCATTTATCTTAGGAAAACGAATGCTTATTGATGTTATGATATGCTTCAGAGTCATGCTCTCGGGTGGAGGTTAGGGGCTGGTGTGGTTAAAAAACAGGGGCAGGGGGCAGCTGGCGTGGTGGGGGTGGAAGTGAGGAGCTAGCGGTGTGGCCACTCGGGTGTGGCAGTGCGTAAGAGAGGAAGAGAGATAGAGGACAGAAAAGAAGAAGACACATGTTTGGATGGGATGAAGGACTAAGGAATGAAGGCAAAATGGGAAAATCAAAAGGTCCGTTATCGCCACTGGGGGAAAAACTCTGACAAGGGATGCCAGTGTTATTTCACAAACAAGATTGATAAACAACAAGGGGTGTCAGTGTCATTTGTTTAATACATAAAAATGGGAGAGAATAATCCAAACATCTCTAGAATGGAAGCAGCTTAATACCAGCGTGGAAATATTTAAATGGCAAGAGATATTTCAAGTAATAACAAGGAAAAAGGACCTCACAGAGAGAGAGAGAATATATAAGAATGTAATTTGTGAGATACTAGAGGTAGAACCTTTTTGTGAAGTGCATGAAGAATCTAATAAGATGATTTCACATTTGATGCAAATCAGCCACTACACAAAGGAACTAATAGTTCCCAGCACTTTTACAGGCCAAATATACTAGCACCACCAAAAACATCAATCAAACTAAATGTTTGTAACAAGAAGCTCTGGCACTTTTACTGGCCCAATGCATAAGCACCACCAAAAACAGCAGTAGCAACAAAAAAACAACGAATCTCAACTGTAAAGGAATCTGAAACCAATGACACAATCAAACTTCAACCCTAAAGGAAGCTGAAACTAATTATACCATGAGTACAAAGAGACTTAAACTTAGTTGAAGGCATCACTATGACAAGGGGAGCGCCCAAAAAACTGTGGCCCAAAGCAACAAGAAAAAATGAACTACATAGCATATTATTTAAATAAGGACACGGTCAGAGATATTGCCAAACTGCAGAGTGAATTTATGTAGGTAGAATGAAATGAATGTTCAATGGAATAACAGTCAAAATCTTGTCCCCAGATTATAGGTAGCATTCATTCATATTCAAATTGTGAAATCTAAGCAAAAGCTCTACAATTAAGGCCATGTCCGAATCAGTTAGGTAAGAATATGAAATTAGAAAAGATGAACAAGTGATTCACAGGACACAAAATAAAACACAAATATACAAACCCAAACACAAATACATTTGCTTATGACATCTAATATGCAAAAATATCTAGTTTTCATTTTCTCTTTTAACTAAATATTAGTCTACGCTTTTCAAGAATTAGTTCTCTTTAAATCCAAATAAGGATTACCTCTCATGTCCAAGTTTAAATACTGCTTAGCACACTTTCCAAAACGTAAATCTCTAGANTCCTCTTTTAACTAAATATTAGTCTACGCTTTTCAAGAATTAGTTCTCTTTAAATCCAAATAAGGATTACCGCTCATGTCCAAGTTTAAATACTGCTTAGCACACTTTCCAAAACGTAAATCTCTAGAAACATTCTGATAAGGCGTTAGCTTTAAAACATATATATCAATCTTTTCAAAACTGCATTTAACACATCCATTGCCAAGTCCTCTTACTTGATGACTTACTTGAAAGCATGAAACAGGTGTAAGTGCAATGCCTTCACTGATAAGCAACTTACCCCAAAGAGAGTGGCAATTAGAAGAATGATTCCTGTTATCCACGCAAGGGTCCGTCTAACCAACAGCACTTCCGCAACAAGGATTGGATTAGATGAGCCTGTTGTTTCCTCCAGCCAACGTGGAGTTGACCGAGAAGTGATCATCACATTCAACATGGTCTCTGACCCTGAAGGAGGTGTTCCCATAGAGAAGATGACTCCAACAATTTGACCTGCCCAATTAATCCGCACTTAATATAAATATTGGGAAAAAATGGAAGCTTAAGGTTTTTTTAACAAGATAGCAAAAACACATTGGCTACCGAGAAGCACTGGTTGTTAATTATAGGAAAACACCATGTAAAAGCCTTTGGAAGAGGAAAAAGAGATAAGTTATGCATATATTATTTTAAAAGTTATAAAATTTTATACAAGAAAAACATAACCAATGGTTACCGTAAAAAATGCCCAGCAGTAACCAGACATAGTAAAGCAATAAACAACTATCATTTGCTGTGACAAGGGAGATGCTCGGCTCTTTAAAGAAAAAAGGTGGTAGAATAAGAATGAGGTTGATTTATGTAAAAGAGTTCACTTTTTGGCATCATTTTGAGCTTGAGTTATGCTGGATTTTGTGGGCATTCCACTTTTTGCTTTGATGAAGGATGGATTGGAAATTTGTTTGTGAGCAGTGATCAGACTCTTGTTTTTATATATGTTCTACATTTCTTTTTGCTTTAGTTTTTCAAGGATCCCTTGTCCTTGTATTGGATTTGTTTAGTTTAAATAAAAGTTTTTTGATGCTAATCCGACAAAAAAAAAAAAAAAGAACTTCCATTATCAAGATAGAAATTCAACCATTGTATGCCTCCTGCAAGGAATCAAATATCTTAGAAATTGACGTAAACAATAATTCTGCTCCTTGTTGAGCAACACCAACTGATCCATACTGCTCTTGCAAAACCTGAAAACATCAGACAATTAATGGGGAGGAAAAAATAATATCAGCACTAATACAAATCTGGACACATAAGCATTTAACATAGTGTCATTCAGTAAGCATTCAAGTAGTTTTTGCCCTAGGTCTTTACAATTAGGAAGTTGATAAAATTTTACACTCAAAAACAAGAAATGTACTAAAAATTAATCAAACAGAACATGATGGTTCTGCTGTAGCCCAATCATTCAAATTACTTTCTTTCAAAGTTTTCCAAAATGCAATTGTCAGCACTATAATATCTTCTTCATTTCAACCAGAATACTGATGGCATACAAGGTCCATCCAGGACCCAAAGGCCAATCCATTAACCAACCTTGACTTATGGTTTTTAATTGCTGCTAANAAAATATCTTCTTCATTTCAACCAGAATACTGATGGCATACAAGGTCCATCCAAGACCCAAAGGCCAATCCATTAACCAACCTTGACTTATGGTTTTTAATTGCTGCTAATATTTGGAAATCCAGCACTGATCAGCATTAATGCTGATCAGCAAATATAACTTGGCAGGCGTTTTCGAGGTCTTTGGTCTAGTGAAAGTCTTCCTTTGAAACCAAGTCGTAGTGATGAAAGGCAGGCAGAGCGTAGGTCAGATCAGTCCGCCACTTCTTTATCTAGTAGTTCCACTTTCAGATCGTAGAGCTACACCAAAAGGAGTGAGCTTTTAGGGTTAGGAAGCGAGAAGAAGAGTGAAGGGACATGAGAGTTCAACTATACTGCATTGCCAGAATCCATGTTGTATACTTGAAAGAGGTTGACCTCCTTGCTTCTCTCATGGTACAATCCTCTTCCTGCCGNAGATCGTAGAGCTACACCAAAAGGAGTGAGCTTTTAGGGTTAGGAAGCGAGAAGAAGAGTGAAGGGACATGAGAGTCCAACTATACTGCATTGCCAGAATCCATGTTGTATACTTGAAAGAGGTTGACCTCCTTGCTTCTCTCATGGTACAATCCTCTTCCTGCCGAGCCCTCTTCCTCCTCGGTCCACAGAGACAAAATGAAGGACTGGTGCCAACAGTTCATCATGGAAGAAAGGACTCACTAAGCCGGGATCACTAACTAATACTAATCTAATATTATAGAAAATACCAATCTTGTAAAAATATAAGGCATCAGATTGACAACTATATTCTGCTCCGGCAGTCAAATCTAACAAAATTCCATATAACGACCATGCTTCAAAACACTTTAAAAAACATCCCAACTTCAATGCTGATTTTACCATATTTATTGCTCTCTTTGACATTTACATTCCATGTTGAACCATACTGACAATAGTCAGTGTGAAGAATAAATTTCATTCATGGTATTGATATATCACTTTCCTTTTCTCAAGAAACTTTGGAGAGATTAAACAACTTTCCTATGAGGCAATGACAAGCAAATAACTTGCCATACTTATTGCTCTCTTTGACATGTACATTCCATGGTGAACTATGATTCAAACAATATCCCTCTCACATAAATAAGAAGTGGGCCAAAAAGAATTGCCAGTTAGAAGAGCTTCGCGACAGGTCTGAAGAAAATTGTGCCATAATTGGTTGTTCTCGTGTTTATATTCTGGCTCATGTCACTCAAACCTAATCCTTTGATTTAATAGCGTTTTGATTTTGTGAAACAATTGAGTCAAATTCCATGTAACCCTAGTTGTTGTGGCATTAAATTCACATTTGATGCTTAAAATTGCATCTAGCTTTCCAATCTTTTACCACACCCTTTCTTGATGCCAAGTGACCCACGAATCATGAAATGAATCTGATTCATGAATAAGAAAAAAAGAAATGGATTTTATCACCTTAATGCCATCAAACTTTCCCGTTATTAATTCAGCTGGATTGCGCATACTTCCAGACAATTCTTGATGCATCACCATTGCCCTTTGAATGTTACGAATGAGAGATACAAGACTAGCTGTGAATTCTCTATCTGCTTTCTGCATATTCCAAGAAATTTTTTTCAATGAAATCGCGTGAATGCAAAAAGAGTCCATGCTTGACATATTCCAAATGATAAATAATTCAATAATGTATATGCAAATGAATAGCTAGGCAAAACTGTTAACAACATATTAGTTACAACCTTTGACATCTGAAGATTCAAATGGGCACCATTAGCCAAAGGTATAGTCAACAGTCCATTCAACTGCTCCAAGGATGTAACATAAGATCCACCCAACCATGATGCCTGCATACATAGATAAATAAGTCTAAAGTCACATATCACACTTAAAAAAAAATTGGCGTGGAAGAGATCAAGAGCACAGAAACAAGCTATAAAATAATTACTAACAAATTCACTTAGTTCCTTGTCAGTGCATTCTGCATCAGAATCAAAATTTAAGGGTTCATTCAAAAGTACCACAGAAACTTCATCTTCATCTGCACACCAACATATGAAAACAAGAAATTAAGAATTTTAAAGTGCAAAAATAGAATGCCTTTATACCAGCTGAACAGATTGCAAAGGACAAGTACCTGGAAGTTGGAGGTCAGCTGTATTCTCACCATAAACAACCTTCCTACTGAGGGCCCTACTAAATATATCGTCTTCTGAGTCAAGCTTGAGTTGATAATCTGCATATATCACAACTCAGTACAAATTTTAAATAAGTGCAGAGATTCTACAGCATGCAGCTTATAAAGCATGTCAGGTGAATCAGGCACCTTCAGTTCCTCTGACTTCTAACATTAAAACAGAGCGAGGCCTGTCAAATGGATTGGGCACGAGCACCTTATTCAACTGCAAAACCAATAATGTTGTTTGCTTAGATAGAACTGAAAATAGCAGATACAGGAATGGCAGTGAAGATATTTTGCATTACTTATATTTCTTCTTACCTTAGATGAACTAGCAGCAGAAAGCGTAACAGAAGGTGTAAAACCAAGCAAGACTGACACAACAGCACCAATTTCAGGGAGTAACATTGAATCAGTCTGCAGAAATATAAGAGAAAAACAGAGGCAGTCGGCCACTCTATTATGCATTGTTACATTTTAATCAAAAGAGTAAACAACCCTTGTGCAAGGGAATATGACATGAATTTTTTTTTTTTCAAAAATAAGATTCTTGGAATGAATTGAAATCTGGTTCTAATGCTATTCATGCTTAAATTAGAAATGCTAAATGTGCAAGGGGGAATATTTTCAACAATTTTTAATTACATTTATTCTACATAATACCCACGTAACACACATTTAGAAGTCCATTAAAAGCTAGAAAAGCTCATGTTGTTTATCCATAATGAAAGCATTCCTAGAAGACACCCTGTGTCCACATTGCCTCCACTGTAGTACCGCAGGCTGAAGCAGTTTGGGTCGTCGTAAGGAAGAGTTTTGAGGAGAACTTGCAGACCGAAAGGGCCAGGACCGGAGGGGGGGGGGAGGTTGCGGGAATTTATATAGCCTTCAAACATAGTTATGTCTCACCAATCCAGTCACAGTGGTTAAGAAGTTGGAGAAGCTGCTGACAGATTCTGTAGTCAGAAATCAGAATAGATATTATTCATAATCGTATTGCGCCTATAAGGCGAGAAGTCTTTTGCATTAGAACACATAGTCCTTTCAATCCAACATTTTTAAGGAAATTGTGTGGACCTGATGTCTATGGCACAGAGGGGAGATGAGCAAGGGAGAAGAGATGGGAACCCTAGATTCCTCAAAAAAGCATGGCTGGACGAGAAGTTGGATTAGTCATAAACGCTGTGGAAAGGGAAGATAGCTTAAGAGGAAATTGTTGAGGAATGAGAAGCTCAAGGTAAGATCTTAATACCAGACCTTAAAAGTGGAGACAATGCTTCTTTACTCATGCAGAGAATATGAAGAGAATGCAGTATTTGGCCATTTGAGGATGCAGAGTTGCCAATGCACATGATAGGATACATTAGCTCTCCTTTAGCATTCACTTTAGCTATCAATAAGGGATTCCTCTTTTCTAATTCTTTTGCAAATTCCTTGGGTAGTCTACGTCTTTCTCTTTTTTTTTCCCCAGATCATTGTCTTGTTATTGCTCCAACATACTCTGCATTTCCAAAGTTTCTGCACCCCTTTAGCGTCATTAGTGGATTTTAGGCGGTTACCAAAAAATGAGAAGGTACTGCCAATCCCTTCTGATTGGCTAGAAAAAAAGAACTCAGATTCCCATCCTAGACCATATATCCTTGGACTTTCAAAAAATCAATTTCACATTGACCGAGAATGAAAAAAGGACATATATTCATTATAGTGGACTCTCTCTCTCTCTCTCTCACACACACACACACAAAATAGAGTTCCAGACAATGAATTATCTAAGGTTCAAATTGGTTTTTGTTTTATCCCACAATTCCATGGCAGTCAAAGTAAAGGAGAATCAATCTATTCTTCATAAAAAACAAAGGAATAGATCACGAAACAAGTCTGTCAAGAACCAATTGTAGATTTGAGAGTATCTAAGTCCAATGGTGTCATAAGTATTGTCACACATTTGTAATTTCTCCTCCGTCTTTACATGATAACAAGTATTCATATTGAAAATAAAGGAACAAATGGAAATCTAAGACAAGAATTGGATAAAGAAAATTGAATTGGTTTTGATTTAATTTTGTGGATACAAAGGAGGTTTTCTTATCTATTGAAGATGTTGTATGGCTTGTTTTGTTAGCACCCAATCATAAGCAACCACAAGAGCATTGGCCCTTTGATTCTTTAGTGGTGAGCTAGAGAGTCTAGCTACCTCCAATGCATAAAAAGTTTTGAAGAAAGAGGAATTGAGAAAGAGAGAGCAATCATTTAGTATATATTGGGTACACATCGTTTACAAAAAAAAAAATAAGTTGATGATTATTGAATATTATGTCGCTTTGGTAAAAAAATTNAATATATGTTGGGTACACATCGTTTACAAAAAAAAAAAATAAGTTGATGATTATTGAATATTATGTCGCTTTGGTAAAAAAATTCACACTAGATAACTAGACATAAAATTTACCTACCATAAAGTACTGAGTTTTTTATGAATAAATGCATCATTATCAATATATTTGCGATAAAACTATATACAAAATACAACTATCTACAAGATGTCCATAACCTGTTTTTTTGAACGTGTCCATAACCTATTTTTTTGAACGTGTCCATAACCTACTTTTTTGAGAAATGTTGTTTCTGCATGTCCATGTTGTGTCATATCCATAGCACATAGCAATATGTATAATTTTTAATTTTAATCTTTATCCTCTCTTTTTCAGATTCCCATACAATGCAATACATCACCAAATTCATATGACCCATAAAAACATAAATGTTTTTTAAGTATTATTTTATATCACTTTTTTTTTTTTGAACTCTTGTATCATATGTTAAAATAACATAAAATGAATTAATTTCACAAATCTTAGTAACAAATACTTCTAAGTAAACCAAATAGTTAAATGTTGGCTCTAAATATTTTAATTAATCATGTCCACATTCACTTAGTGGATATACCATAATGAAATGATATAATCATTTTTGAAAGTAAATGGCTAATTTTGCTTATTGTTGCTAAAGAATTACTAAAAAAATCTAATTATCAAATCGTTAGATAATAATTAAAATATAAATATATTTTATTGTAAACGTATCCGGGTGTATTCGTTTTCTATTTTTTTAGGTTTTGTCGTATTTGTTGTATCCGTATTGTTATTGTACCCATATTTTGTAGTCATATTCGTGCTTCTTAGATTTACTCTAATCGCAATAATGTCCCTAACACCTTTTCAATCACTCCAATTCCAAGACTATCCCATTACCATTTTCCAAATTTAGCTCAGCAGCAGTGTTGCGACTACTTGTTGTTGGATGAGTATCTTCAAATCCAATTCCTTACAGCCTATGGCAACACAATACTTAATCAATTCCAACTCTAGCATCCTAATGACAGCTCTTGGAACGCAACTTTAGTTATTTTGGGTAGATTTGTGGTTAATACGAGGAACAACACAATTCACAATGAAATACTAGACTTGGAACAAGTATATACATGACAAAGTGAGCAAAANCATGCTTCTTAGATTTACTCTAATCGCAATAATGTCCCTAACACCTTTTCAAATTTATCAGTACTCACTCCAATTCCAAGACTATCCCATTACCATTTTCCAAATTTAGCTCAGCAGCAGTGTTGCGACTACTTGTTGTTGGATGAGTATCTTCAAATCCAATTCCTTACAGCCTATGGCAACACAATACTTAATCAATTCCAACTCTAGCATCCTAATGACAGCTCTTGGAACGCAACTTTAGTTATTTTGGGTAGATTTGTGGTTAATACGAGGAACAACACAATTCACAATGAAATACTAGACTTGGAACAAGTATATACATGACAAAGTGAGCAAAAAGAAAAAAATCGAAAACAAGGTACCTCAGAGGAAGCATCGGACGAACGGCTGTGAAGATAATGGTGAGTTGGGCTATCGAGGAAGAAAACCGAGCCAGTGCCATCGGCCTAGATCAGAAATCAAGCACAATCAACAATATTGATTCACCTTCCGAAAAAAACAATATTGATTCAATAGATCCATGACCATATCAAAAATTTAGAGCTAAATATAGCCAGATGCGATTCATAAATATAATTGTGGATGTCAAAGTATGTATAAAAACATCTATANAAGACTTTGGACTCTACGTGTTCTCAATGGAGACATGTTTCACGATGAGAACTCTAGTACTTTGTATTTTTAGAATCAACGTGAATATTATTAACTCAACAAAAATTGATTATTCATGTGATGTAACAGTAATTTCAATAAAAACACAACATTATTTCTAAAAAAAATATTTTAAATAAAAGTTGATGTACAATACTAGTGTATTTCTTAGCTCTAGTAATTTTCCAATGAGCAAAAAGTGATAACAAAAAGGGCAACAAAATAATAAAGGGAAAACAAAACACGAGTGAACTTCAGAAAACAAAACTAACCTGATCTTTTGATTTTGATTGCTTAGCTTGAGAAGGGAAAGGGAAAGAGGGGCTAATTTTCATAGACCAATGAGTAGAATTGACTCGATTATGCAAAATGACTCATTATAGCAGATTCGATTGATAAACAGATGAATCTATTAGACTTGTTAAATAAATAAATTGACACAAACACGATTAAATATGACACGAATTCACTAAACATGGATTNAGGACTTTGGACTCTACGTGTTCTCAATGGAGACATGTTTCACGATGAGAACTCTAGTACTTTGTATTTTTAGAATCACAATTGACGTGAATATTATTAACTCAACAAAAATTGATTATTCATGTGATGTAACAATAATTTCAATAAAAACACAACATTATTTCTAAAAAAAAATATTTTAAATAAAAGTTGATGTACAATACTAGTGTATTTCTTAGCTCTTGTAATTTTCCAATGAGCAAAAAGTGATAACAAAAAGGGCAAAAAAATAAAAAAGGGAAAACAAAACACGAGTGAACTTCAGAAAACAAAACTAACCTGATCTTTTGAATTTGATTGCTTAGCTTGAGAAGGGAAAGGGAAAGAGGGGCTAATTTTCATAGACCAATGAGTAGAATTGACTTGATTATGCCCAATGACCCATTATAGCAGATTCGATTGATAAACAGATGAATCTATTAGACCTGTTAAATAAATAAATTGACACAAACACGATTAAATATGACACGAATTCACTAAACATGGATTATAAAGAATTTATATACGACACAAACTTGACAAGCTTATTTATGCATGACTTGCAAAACTTCCCCTTTGTGTTCCACAAAGAGCACTGCCGTATCATCTCACATGTCACTCAAATGTTTAACTGGGCCTTAAAGCTTGGGCAATACATGATTCTTATCGTGGGACTTAAATGCAGTGAGCTTCACATTTTGAAGTTTGGCCCAACTTCAAAGGATTTAACGCACTCAAAAGGATCGTTTCTTCTGGTGGTCTAGTACTTGCAGTGTCTTGTTTTGGGTTTTTCTTGAATTTTTCAAGGTTAGC